CATCATGAAGTGCGTACAGAAAGGAGCCCCCTGTTCCGCGCGTGCCTCAAAGGCAGTTTTCGAATTGAAAGAAAATACAGCAGCGTTGCGTAACAGATAATACGCTCAAGCTCATCCGAGATCTGCATACCGCCATCGGTAAACGATGCATACAAGTAGCACGCTGTATAACTGTGTCGGCGCATGCAAGGCGCGTTGTAAAGTGAGCTCTTCATGGCGGCGCGCTGCGGAGCGATGGGTCGCTGTTTTGAGTTATTCTCGATGTATCCAAGGCATATCCACTTCAGCAGAGCGCATTCAGTTACTCGAAAAAGCGGCGAGTCGGGACGCCATGGCGCTCTTGAGCACGTCAACGCACCGATCCCGTATATACGCACATTCCCAGCGTAACGAAAATACACGAAAAGCACGGTAAGATGATGCTTGAACAAGCTCGACAAGTCCGAGCTTGCGTATGAACGTGTTGAGATGTTTGGGAACAATGCAAGAAATGCGTACCGACCGTCCAGGTGTGTCAGACCGGCGACGCTAGGTCAGGCCCGCAGAAGAGCTCCACCCGCGATGAACCACTTCTTCTCTATAACCTTTCTTTAATTCTCTAAAGCAATTTATTCTTTCATTAAAGGTGCCGTGAGATGATCAACGTCCGAAATCACTCCACGCTCCCAATGGTGTATTGTACTCTAACCGCTCATTATATGCTAACAGCCTGGGTACTGCAATTCAAACAGACCCCAGTGTCGGGAACCGCCGCCTACGCAAATAGGACCCATCGAGAAAACTTCAAGTTCTATCAGACCTCTGCCGCCAGGATGCAACTTTACTGTGTCGCCTGTGGTTAGGAGTAGCTTTTACGAAGGCGTACTCCTTTCGCATAGGAATGGCGGATAGCTCCCGATGTGAATTGTGCGACACTGACGAGACAATAGAACATCTACTGTCTTCATGTGAACGTTTTGCGAGCGAACGCAACTTGCTACGCGAAACGTTAGAGACACTAGACAGTAGACCTTTCTCTGAAGAGAAGATCCTTGGTTCATGGCTCTACGCATCGCAGGCCAGCAAAGCGACGCGGGCATTGCTAAGTTTTCTAAAGACGACCGGACTACGCGACCGCTTATAAGCGTGCAATGGACAAGGTCACATCTACACACACGTTGCCCTTCACCTCTCTCTCTTCTCCTTTAATCCCCTCACCCCTTCCCCCAGTGCAGGGTAGCAAACCGGACGTGCGTCTGGTTGACCTCCCTGCCTTTCATTTCTTCCTTTCCTCCTCCTCCATGTTCCTTACCAGTATGACTGCTGACTTTTTTAAACTTACCATCTCGCCACGATACAATTGTAATAGAAGCACGAGTCGCTAGCGTGAGACATTTGATTAAAGGAGCATTGACAAAAAAAAACAAAAATAAAAAACATTCACAGCATATCCACGTCGTGAATAACGAGTGGGGTGAAGCGTCCATCCGTCTCTCTGCGTGTCTGTCCGTCCGTCCGCCCACTTTTATCACACTAGAGCGCGCATCATACAACTAAGCGGTCACATACAGGGGGATGGACAGACCCACGGCTTTAGGAGCTTCGCCCCTAAAGACACGCACAGGTTGCCGTTACGCAAGCACAGTGGTTCAACTCTCTCCGCAACTCAGCGTGACGAAACTATTCATGCAAGCACCGCTGTATGTCATTTACGTGCACATGACTTTTGCACTGGCCCATCGCAAACACCCATCTGCGCACCAACTTTAAGCACGTGTTGGTGCCACGCTGATTTTTTTTTCTCTTTTTTGGGGGGTTATATTCGCCAAGAGAGGAAACCAAAAACGCCCTTTGCCGAAATTCGCACCGTGTTCCCCGCGTCTTGTTACGCCGTCGTGCATTGTGGCTCGCTAGAGAGAATCCGGACTAAACCTAGAAGAGGCGTTACAAAGACATCGATTGCGACCACGGAAAAAATTACGAGATCCAAGCAATTACTCCGGAGCCAATCGCTGGCCTCCGTTGCTTTTCAGAGGCCCACGCAACATCGTAACCGTAAACCATCGAGAAAGCCATCACGTGGCAATGCACAATTTTCTCTCGGCTGCATTTCGTTTATCAGACACTGAGACGCCCACAAAACGCCCCATAACATTCCTACAAATAGCGCCGCTCAATAGAGAACCAGCATTGGAGTTTTCACATTGAGGGCAGCGCAGCCCTGCAAAGCACACATACTCAGTCACTGCGGCGGAAAAGAGCGGCCCAAAGAGGTTTTAAAAGACTCTGCAGTGGAAGCTGCGCAACGCTGCGATGGAGCGCCAGCGTCAACGCCGCCGCCAGTGTAAGCGTTAGTGCCCGCTGCTTCGCGTTTACACACAGTTCCCTTTAGCGGGAGGCGGTGTTATTTTTTATATTTTTTATCTGCTCATATAAATTTTACACATGTCACTTCCGTGACGGAAAGGATGTCAGTGAAGTCTTGACGGACCCTGACATAAAACACTTTCTTACGTCAAACACACTACCGCTGAGGACGGGCCCCTTGCCACCCCTACCCTTGCTTCTGGACTGCTGCTTCTGTTGATTACTACCGTTCCACTGCTCAATTAATCTTTCCTCTTCTCTCCACTTTTCTTTCTTTTCCCTTCCCCGCAGGCACTGCGCCGTGCTCCCGACCAGGCTGCAGAAATTAGGTGCATTTTCTCATCTTCTAACCACTACATCAAACACAATAGTAATATGAAGCCAGAGCTGGCTGTCTGAAGACAAAAACACGACAGAGGAAATATCAAGGTGGCATTCTTGGCATGTTGACTGTTCATTTTACTTCGTTCACTAGAAACAACCACACCAAGGCAGCACAGAGACTGCATGCGTGCATGTGGCTTCCTTGTGTCATTCTAGTGCCCTATTACAGTTCTTAAAAATGCTTTAAATATTTACATCAGAAGTGCATATGTTGAAAGCGCAACAGATAAACCATTCAACACATTATTTTGGAATACCAGAATATTTGCACAAGACATCTAAAAGGTACACATCTTCCAGAGCTTTCAAGCAGATCGTATTTGGTCATGGCCAATACAAGCAACACATGCCTAAAACACTAGCGCAAAGAAAAGTTATATACGTCCTTGAATAAATAACTGCTGGGGTTTAACGTCTCAAAATTACGATATGATTATGAGAGACGCCGTACTGGAGAACGCAAGAAATTTCAACCCCTTGGATTCCTTTAATTTGCACCTTATGGCGAATTCCATTGGGAAAGCAGCAGCACTCAAAAGCACGCCTAAAGTTCTCTCTTCAGAGCCGGCGTGTTTCAGTGGTCGAACAGGTGCAGGAGCAATGTCATCCATTGGTAAAGCGAGAGTGCTTTTGCTGTGCCGAGAGCAGCCAGGAGCAGTTTGCAGTGTTCTCGCCTGAAAAGCTGAGTAGGCGCAGTACGAAGAGTCACGTGGTCCTTGAACGTCACAGCCTCCAAATTTTTCTTCAGCCGGCGAGCGCGGCGGCAGTGGTAGCAACCATGTGTAGTTTGACACCACTGTTTTGTACGAATGGCTACGATGAGAGCTGGACGTTTGCCGAATGAGTCACAGCACAAGCATACTAGGTATTAGGAAAATGAGGAATACGTGACTGACCGATTTCACGCGTATTTTGCTGCTACCCCACAAAGAATATGCCGAGGCTTGGAATGTTTCAGTCGCATGGTCTCCCTACTCGTTACCTTCTCACCTGCCCTCCAGGAGCACGGCGCATTCCAGTGGCAGGTTGAGTGGCCCTGTTCTCAGTGCTGTTACGCCTGCGAGTCCACACCGAACGTCAATGCCTCTGCAAAGGCAATCTGTGTCAAGGCCAGCGGTCGAACCCACCTGACGCGATCAACTCAACGACATCATCAAGCGGCGGCGCTAGTCTGTCACGCAACGCACAGCGAGCTCCCTCAGTCCACAAGCCCGTTGAAGCAATCGGCGCCTTCCAGTCTGGCGAGTCTTACGCAATGCGTGGGAGCGTCACTCATCCTTGGGTGCAACCACGCGCAGCGGCTCCAGATTTGAAGAGCATGACGCGGTCCAGCAGCGGGCCACATTGGAGAATTCTGACATCACGCCCAGCGGCACTTCTGGTTGGACGTTGGTGACTCAAAGGATCCACCCGGTGCCTATGAAAAAAGGCCCTGCGGCGCGTCGCCGGCAATAGACCTATGTGTCAGAGAAGCCTCTCGTTGCTTCGAGCCCCTTTCGCAGTCGGCGCGCCCGGTGTCCTAGGCAGCGGCGAGTTTCGTGGCGCCCTTCGTAACCTCGTCGGCGGTGCGCTTCGTAACAGAGAGACGGATGCGTGCGAGAGAAGACATCTCAGCTCTTCGAGTCCCTAAGCTGTCGGCCCCAGTGCCGAATTTGTAACGCCTCTATTTCTATGCTGTGCATAAACCTTGCCTTAATTCACCGTCGTCTCGTCCGCTCGTCTATCAGCTCTACGCAGAAGCAGTCGCGAGCTGAGTAACACACGCTACCAAACGGCTGGTGACCTTGGAGGCGGAGTTCGGAGCAGTGGCGCCTTCCAGACCGTGTTGGCTTCGCGCCTTCGTAACAGTGCTCTGCCCCCAACTCCTCAGAGCCCTGCCCCTATACTCCTGTTCTCTCAATGTAATTCGCCATAAATCTAAGTACACGGGCCTAAAGCACTTCTAGCACCAAAAATGCGGCCACTGCAGCCACGATTCGATCCCACGACCTTCAAATGAGCAGTTTGTCATTGAAAAGATATGCTGATAAGAACCCTTAATGTCAATAATAACAGTTGCCGAGTTTTTATGAGCCAAAATGACAATATGGTTCCACGGCATGAGGGGGGGGGGGGGGGTCAATTTGACCAGGTAAACATCCTTTGCATTTTGACCACATCTAAATGCTGTCGCATCCTTGAGCTTAACAGGGCCATGGTGGGCAGTCATCATATAATTTGGCAAAAAATAAAAAGCCTTCGAAAAGACGTGCAGAATCAGTAAGCATGAAGGAGAATCAACATCACTGGCTTTATTGTTCAAACACAAAATAAACTAAACTATTTGCCAATGCACTGGCATACACCATGCTGTTCCCACTACTCGGGAGGTGACATTGTGAAATGCCACAGTGCCACATACAAACATAAAAGCAGATTAAATAAAGCCTTTTAACGTACATTGCATAACTTGTAACAAATTTTCAATGCAAGCACTTATTTCATAAATAACTTGACCAGTACAAAACTATAAAAATAGCACGCATTTTCAACAGCTTAAATCGTACAATGTGCTCTTCACTGCCTGTTATACATTACTGAAACAGGAAAGTTTCCATTTAGCACAACTTGTGAGGTCTACGCTTTGCTTGTATCAGTCTGCTTTCAAATATCGCTCCTCAAGTGCTCCATTTAATCATGCTGCTCCGATGCCTAAAATTATTAGGCAAATGTATTCCTATTTCCACTCACTTGGTGGTCCAAAAATGCACATGTATCATTGGTACTTAGTGACACTGTCATGCACGTATTATTGTAAAGCTGATTGAATGGATCACAAGTGTTGCAATATGAAGGTGATACACACCATGCTTCCAGCAATCAAGCATTGACAAGATGGGAAAGTGCAAATTTAGAATAAGTGCTGTTACAACTGGCACGAGAAATGTGTTGCCCATCTATAACTGTGCACTTATGCTTGAACATTCTACCTGATATACCAATGCATACTACCACTTTGATAAAAAAGAAAAAAAAATGTCTGCTCTGTATACACTGGACGCATCATTAAGATTTGGCACAAGCTAGGAAAAACATACAATCTGCATTTTATATTTATGCAGAAATGCTGTATGAACCCAACACACAGTGTTACAGCATTTCTTCTATAACTTTCATTAAAATTAACTGGTTTGGCAAAACATCAGCTCGCTTCTGTTGAGCCTACTGATACATATATGCAGTCATGAAAGTCTTAAGTAGTAGAGTACACTTATAAAAAAAAACAGAAAAATATTCAATAACTAAACATGAGGGCATAAGAAACACACTGTACTTCCGGATGATTTATTCATGCTGAGCCCGAGCGAACTAAACAGCCTCGAAACACTTGGCAGCAACCAATAATCAATAGAAACCCAATACCTTGAAAATTAGAAACAAATTGCTTAAAAAAATGCTGTATAGGTAATCTAATTGGAATTGTGCACCTGCACCGACAAGGACTATTTGCTTTCCTATGGAATGATAACCTACTGCTCTGAGGACTTTGAGAATGAGAGATTCGTAGACCTGGAGGTTGCAATGGAAAAGGGAACTTAAAGACATTCCTGCTTATTGTACCTCGGCAATGTCAGAGACTGCTCTGAATGTTTGCCAGTAAATATTTGCATGCTGGAAACCATACCCATACAGGCAACTGCACGTGCACACGCGTGATTAAAGGACAAACTGTGCTGTGTTTCACAGCAGGTAATGACTCCTTTTAAACCTTCACCACTTGATACTGACGTGCTGTGGCCTAAGTTGCCCTAAACACCGTTCTGCGGGATAGACTCTTCGAGAATTGAAATAGGCAATGCTTCGTTTGCACTAAGACACTGTTGATGTCCTGCGAAGCCTAAAAGAACGCCATATTGAAGGCGTACGCTGTAGTACGATGTGTGTACGTGTTGTCAAACTCGAGCGCGTCGTGCGGACTACACGCAGACACAGGACACACGAAAATGCGGTGGAAGTGCCACTTTAATAAAAGCAGTACGCTCTTAGAGAGGGCTTGATGGAGTAAATCTTGTGAAAAACTAATTTCTTAAAGATTTTGAGACTAAGAACAACAAGCAATACCAGGCTGAGGTGAGCACGAGTCAGTGCCTGCATTCACTGAAAACTGGCATCGAGAACCACGCCTCCCAACGGGCTCATTACACATTGCTTTCCTTCATAATTTCAGTGCATTTCTTAATTTTTTAAAACTAAATATTCCTATTTTAACATTTTTATAAGTTGTGAATGCAAGTGTTCCCAACAGAAGTGCTTTTGTAGCGCAGTCACTGGTCTTTGTTCTTAGCATCTTGCACATGTTTCGAAACATGAAATAGTGTTCTTTCTTCTCAAGATCACTCCATTGAAAGTAGTTGGACCTAGGTGTAACTTTCATTTAAAAGTGTCTGAGTGATCATAATGAAAATTACTGAGGCTATAATGAAATCCTTTGCATACAGTCTTCACCTTAAATTTTTAACAAGTGTTTGAGTTGCAGTACAAGAAAAATAATGTTTCACTGCAAGGGGAAAGCAATGGCTGAGATAGCAATAAGTTACCATGTTATAAGAAGTAAGGCTAGCAACTAACTCTTTTGGGTTCGATTTCGCTTAACTTCGATGAAATGCTCTCCAGGGAGTGAAGTGGTTTTTGTGCAGTCTGTCACCTCATTGTGAAGTACTAACTCGTAAGAACAAAGCACGAGGGTATATGAATCGTCCACAAGCGTCTAATGAGACAGTGCTCGCAACAACAACCTTATAATGAAATTGCGCATGTTTTATAAGCTGGTGCTCATTAATATCAACACGATCAACAGGATTTATTAATTGACAACCAAGTTTTACAACCAATCTTGGGCAATCTGCATCAAGCATTTCTGTAAAAAGCTTTAAAAAACAAGGGGTTTTTCCCTCGCATCAGCAGGGCCATCAGTGCTCAAGGGGTCTGGAAAAGCAGTCACAAATGGATGACCCCTTTTCTATGGGCTACATTCACATACGGTGAGAGAAGGGATGTTCAGTGGTGAACGAATGATGTTTTCCTTGTACAGTGAAAGGTTCTCAAAGTGCTCAACATGATCCCATTTTGCCATTTATACCAACCGTCGCTTAACCTCAGTACTCTATAGTTATATACATGCTTTTCCCATCATTCAACAGACGGGTCCTTCTATCCACGAATAGTTGGCATAACATTCCTACACTGTCAAGGCACCATGAGTTTGCTCCCAGTTTGACAGATGCTTTCCTTTCAACTGTACCTAAAGCTCAACATCATTTCCCAACATGGCGAATTGCCTATTTTCTCCAATGTGAGTCACTGTTTATAATACTCTTATACAAAAAAAAAATGCTAAATCATTACACTGCTAGGGTCTGTGCAGTCTATTGGGGATAGAACGCTGCCAGCCCTCAAAACATGTGCTTAATGGGCCAAACTGAAGGCAAGATACACGTCTTGGAATAGCATCCCTATGAATTTCACCTGACACTTTAAAATTACGCAGACATTTGAACACTGGTGCAACTGTACTACACCTTTGATAATTCACAGTTAATAAGTGACTAAAATGACACACTTATAAAAATGATGTTTTGTCAACACATCGTTACCACCCAATATCAGTTCACAAACTGACACTGGATATAGGATGATTACAAAACTAAATAAATGCACACAAAAAATCAGCAAGACAGACTGTACTGCATTTTACTATGCAAAAGCAGCGTGAAAAATATTGTAAAAAGAAAAATAAGCATGCTATAACCAGACACAGGTGCTGCTAGCACACTGAATGTCACACAATAGATATAAGTGAAATGCTATTAAAAAAAGAAAGAAAAAAGCCTGTTAATAGAAATGCCTAATAATACTGGCTGAACAAAAAAAGAAGAACTTTTAAACATACTATCATAATCATTCAACTACCCATAAGCCTGGGCTATAAGAAACAAGCGAGAGCATTATATTAAGCTATGAAGAGCCAATACTCTTGAAAACAAGTAACTGGCTAGTATTGCAAAAATTAAATATGCCTTAAACAGTGCGCAGACTTGCACCATGGCCTGTTTTCTTTCTGATCCGTAATCATAAATCAACCCGCCCAAACGCACACCCTCAACTTTTCCGTCTAAAATTTTCAGAAATGTTTGCCGAATTAGCATTGTTCCAACCGGTCGAATTTATAAGTGAAAGTAAAAGCATGCAACAGCGTGCTGAATTCAAGGTTCTCCAAGGGGTTGGCTACAACTTCAACCTTAAAGACATTGTATGCATTAATATACAAAAGCACAAGTATTCATCACACAAACAATAGCTCTCTCTCTCTCTCATAAACTAAGTGCAATCCAGTTCAGCAAAGTCCAAAAACAAAAAATAAGGCCGTAGCTTCTTCGTGTGAAGAGGATAATCAGGGGAACAATTGGGGAGACCACGCACCCTAGAAAGTTGGTGGTGGTCTCCTACCTGCACGGCATCGCACACAGTCTTACAAAGATTAGTGCAAAAGTCGGCGTACAAGTTATATAAGCATCCAGAAGCCAAGCTCTTCATCGCTACAAGTTCAGTTATACCCAAGAAAAAAAAAATGCAATGTAAAGCACTGGAAAAAGTACACATGACTGGACGAAGCGAGGTCCTATAAAAGTCCGCTTTTGGGTGGATAACCTTACATTGGGCAAACAGGTCAATGTTTGAACCACTGCCTGCGTGAACATGCAAACAGGGTGGAAAAAGGAAGTGATAGTAATTTGGCTATGCATTGCCACGAGTGTGGGTGCAAACTATTGTATGATCAGTGCACTGCTGTTTTCCATGACGCGGATTAGCGCTATCATGAGAACTTGGAGGCAGCTCAAGCACAACTTGAGGGCAACAGTTGCTTGAGTATGACCTCAGTTTCGTTGACAGAGAAGGAAATAGCCTTCTTGAAGGGGCACTATACTTGATGGAGTGATTAGCTGATGCGTGCTGGCACACTGCACACCGGTGCCATTAGTATTTTAGTTCTGTCACATGCACATGTATATGTCTCACCTTGATAATAAATTCAGTCAGAAATTCGCACCTGTTTGTGTCTGTTTCGTCCTTTGACCAGGAAACTTTTGCTCAAATAGCGTGCTTGCATTATAACAAACAAACCAGCATATGAAAGATAAAGGAGGATTTACCCAATGTTTCTTTTTAATCTATACAAAACAAGCAAGTTTAGATGAAGAGTAATCAGAATCCATCAAAAAAACATAAAGTCCCCTAGTCAAACACTAAAATAATTGCTGCATTGACTGGAAAAACACTGATGTAAAGTTCGAGCAGCAGAATCTAATGACACTGCTATTGGACTCCATATTTATACAGATGGCACAATGAATATGACTGAGAGAAAGCTGCCGACAACTGCACCCATTCATCATTGATGATATTTTGACATAAAAATCTTGCAAGGTTCAGTACGATCAAGGAGCTCGTACAAGTTCAACACACCTCTGCATTCTTTTGTGCTTTGGTCAGAGGCTGCAACTTGTTACCTGCCAACAGTATTTTTATTGCACGTATCTCAAGTCTGCAGGCTTGCACGGCTATGCTCCCAGAGAACAAAATGCACATAAATAGCTGGAAAAGTGGACGAAGAAGCTATCTCCATCACTGCACAATTTGGTAGAACATTGCACACATAATTCGAAAGTTGTGGGTGCGAATCCCACCGAACCGAAAGTTGTTTTTGTTTCGTCAGCTTTATTTCTTTTTATTTATGCCCTAATCATTACATTACAGCTAAAAAAAAAAAAGAATAACTAATAATGTCATCTGCACTTTTCCTGGCTAAAATGTCAGATCGTTTCACTGGTTCAGTTCAGGGAAGCTATTACCCCATGTACAGTCGTTTTTGCTTCCATGGCGCACATGTGTCCGGCGGATCAGCTTAAGCCTAAACACAGCCGAGTGAGAGGTGGCACTGTGCCTGCATGGTGACGACAGCAGCAGATCCACCACCACTTGTGGTTACGACAACTTACAATTCGGTTCCCTTCATGCGAGTACAATGATGGCAAAATTGCATTCGAGGTACGTGTATGTATTATCTTCTGTGTACTGTAATTGCATTATATTTGGATTCTTTGTCTTGATGAGAGCTATTTCTTCAGCTGGCGAGCTTGGCGTTATGTAAAAGGAGATAATCTGTTTGTTCCACAACAATGGCTAGCCCAGAAAACGAGTCACCTTAACGATTCCAATTTCGCACTTTGAGAGAAAAAGAAAGGAAATGCACAGATGCCTGTAGAACAGACTGGCTGTGGAATGTCATTCACCATGACAAGTGACTTTGCTTTTCATCCAATGCAGAGTGCACAACACTTTGCGGTGAAAAGCGAAACAGCGAGAAGCAAAGGCAAAGAAACCAGGCACCTTGCTAGCATAAATGCCTGCAGTGAAGATTGCCTCACGCGAAAGTGCAGTTCTTTTAAAGGGCTGAACCTACTGGAAGAATCCCTTCTGTAAAAAGCCCCCCAGATGACCAGTAACAATTTAAAGTGATGATAAAAAATGGGGCCTGGTGAGAGGCTGCTCAAGAGAATACTTTTACGAAAGTCACGCAGTTTACTGATGGGTTTATCAGTGATTACTGTGTTCCTGTTGTTCATCCCCAGTGTGTCAATCACCCCATTTTGAAATGGCCATTTTCAAGCAAAATACCAAGGTCTGCCTACAAGGTCGATGGCAATAATACATGACCTCGACACATATCACCGATTGTCGTTTCAACCAAGTGTTTTTTGGCTTGAATAAATTGAAGTGCAGTTCCTTAATCACTTAGCAGGAATGCATTATGTGCTATCATTTTGATAGACTTAGAGGTTGCTTTTTAATCTAAGATGTAGGCATTAACCAACTAAGCTGTGGTTTTAGAACCAATGCTGGCTTCAAAGCAAACTGATGGTTGGCTCAGTCTGGAACAATGCAACAGCACACACAAGAACTTCCTGGCAAGCAGGCCTACTTTACACTATGGCTCTTGGAAAGTTGCATGCCTAGTTTTGCACACTGCAGCGCACATTTGGTCATTGTGTAAATAACTGCTGGCTAAGCATAAAGAAATTTGAGACAACTTTTTTTTTCTTTCTCTGCAGCTTCTCATTATTAAGTTTTAAATAGCAGGATGCCTTGCTCAGGCATGAAATTCTTTCTTTCTTCTGGCAATTCAGTTCACACTAAGAAACATTAAAGAGAAAAGTTCTGTTCATTACAGCAAGCTACAGATGAGAACATCGAGTGAGTATCAGTACACGACAACACAGCTTCTTTGTTCACAACTTTTTGTGGCCACCATATTCATTTCACATGTAAGCCCTAAACATCACATCATGTTTTATCAGGTTTCATATAGATGTGCTTAGCAAATGCAAAATCACTGCAACATCAGATAGCAATTCAAATTGCAAGTCAGTGCCTCTTGTGCTATGCGACAACCCCGTCTGACATCTTTCCATTACCGTATTTACTCGCGTAATGATCGCACCCCTAAATTTTGTCGTCTAAATTCGATTTTTTTTTTCCCTCGCCTAATGATAGCACCTCGAACTTGCCACATCGATATGTACTGTGCCATGTCTAGCCGATGCTCATCGCCTTTATTATCTGTCAAATGTTGCGTTAATAACTCTTCAAAACTCGCCAACTGCACACACCAAACATATTCTCAATTTTTGCCCACCGTTGACAGAAACGAGCCATTTAGGATTGCAGTAAGGGCAAATGCCGCCTTTTCAGCGAATGCCCGCCATGTGTTTTCATGTCTGTGGCAGCTGAACGTGCCCATTATTGTTTCTGCGATCTGAAAGCAAGCATCACCATGCTAATGCCATAAATTTACTTATTTAAATAAAAGCATGCCTTATTTAGATAAAAAAAACTGTTTCGACGCGCGTGACGTACTCACAACCTCCATAACTGACGAAAAGGAGAAAAAAAAATGCGGTCGCTTCGCTCTGTCAGCCGCCATGTTTGTTTTGACATCACGCACTATTAGAGCGGCGGCCGCCTGTTGGTCGACCTGTGTTCATTCCTGCAGCAATGTTTTTTTTTCCTGAGACCACATTTGTTTTTGTGTGTGTGTGTGCTTTGTGATCGTCGCGCCGTTTCACCATGGGGCGGTATGCGAGCTTTACTGCCGCGTTCAAGCTGAAGACGCTTGACTACGCGCTAGAGCAATGTCGACAAGGTGGTCGTCAAGAGCTTCAAAAAGACTGGCATTTCCAACGGGCTCGACGGAACGGAAGATGACTCTCTGTGAGATAGTGAAGACACTGCCGGTTCCGACAGGGAATCATGCGGCGACGACGCTGACGCTTCAGAGTCTGAATGAACGTTAGCGGGTCAGAGAGGTAAAAATTAAAAGGGCAGTGTGCCATGCATGTAGCTCCTGCGTAATGTGTGCATTTTATTACAAAGGTAAGCTTTAATTTACATTTATTTTTGGTTATGTTCATGATAGCTATCGTAACAATTCTGATTAGCGATCCTTTTTGCGTTTTCGGTGCTCGGAATATTTTTTCACAGAAAATTTACACCGCGTAATGATTGCATCCCGAAGTCGGAGTAACTTTTTTTGGCAAAAAAAAAGTGTGATCATTATGCGAGTATATACGGTAAATCAAAGTTCAGCATTAAGAGACTTGCTGCCGAAATGAAGGCTAACAACTGTCCTCTGTGCAATAGGTAATTATTGTTATATACAAAGAAAAACACGCTAGAACTAGAATACCTTTTTTTGACATAGTATGTGCTTTTCTTTGCAATGTTTACCATCTGGTATAAGGTCACAGAATGATGGTTATTGCGACAGCTTTACAGGTCCTAAACAAGTTCAACATTCATAAACACAAAATTGCTAAAAACACCAAACTTGACTTTTCAGCAGCAGAGAAATCGTACACACAGCTGGTAGCACAATAAAGTGTCCCGTCAAAGCCAGCTTTAGACGAGTCTGTGTAACCAGGCAATGATATTTTGTAAAACTGAGAAATGCTGCTGCCCTGAAAACACTCCATATGCAGCACAACGCATGATATTTTGTCGACACCAAGAGCAGCCAGGTGAGGCCTAACACACCTTTCTAGTTAGCTGCGTAGCATCACTGCGCTTTGGCGGTGGCGGGGGCGGAATTTTGCGCCTAAACGTACCATCGTCGGCACACTTCCGTACCGGGTGGGGGGAGGCAGCAGGGGTCGCGGAAACCCAGAATTTCATGCGGAGTCGCAGTTGGTTCAGAGGACAGCTGCTGCGCCACTTTCCACTTCTTCTCCATGACCCGCTGCAAGTCCCGCAAGAACACATCCGGTGGCTTGCTGCAGGTGACCGGACCAGCCGGCGACGATCGCCACGCAGATGATGAGAGTCTGGTGCTTTCGCTGCGTTTAGGTGGGGGCGGCTTTTGCCGCACCACCACTTGCTGCAAAGATGGCCTCTCTTCACTGCGGGCCACAGAACAGATGGGGTCTGCATAGATCGGGGCCGGTGGGCTGTGCGTGGGTGTAACGCTATCGGGGCTGTTTGTAGGCGTAGCTAGTTCAGAAGGGGGCGGTGGCAGTGAGTTCAAACTTGACGTGCTGGGCCAGCTCAGAACATCGCCAAGCTGCAAAGGTGGCGGTGGAGGAGGGAATGACTCGAGGCTCAGCGTGCTGCCTGCCAAATCGTTGGCACCAATGTTGGGCAGCATGTTCGGGTGCCGGTTGCACGGCAACATGCCGCTCGGGACTACATGATGGAGGCCGAGCATTGCTAGGTAGACTGGTCTTCCTCGACAGTGTGGCCGAGGCGCAAATGCGCTCATCAGTCTGCGACCGGCGCAGGCTCATTCGGCCTTCCCGATACTCTGCCCAAACTACCCGTGAGGCTCTTCCTTGTGTCGTAAATTCCGGCATTGTCGGGTAGATCAACGGACGACTGCTTAGCAAGCGTGCGAGTGGTGTTTGTCAGGGGGATCTTGGGTGTCATAGACGGCTTTCTCTTGATGGTTCCAACGGGTGCATCGGCATCGAAAAAGGCAATTTGCTGCTGCTCCGTTGGCGTGGCAGTGAGCTCGAGGGACACTCCGCTACACGATTCCTGCTGGGCAGAACTCGCCGTGATGGTCAAGCCTGAGTCCGCACTGCCTCTGCGCTCGGAGGATGACGGACTGGCCAGCTCTGGTGATCCACTGTCCTGGGCTCACAGCCGCCCTGGCCATAGAATTGATGGAAAAGCTACGGGCATGAGCCAGGGTCTCCAAGTCTTCCTCCACAATGTCACGCATCAGGTTGTCATAGTTCTCTTTAATTATCCGGCCATACTGAAAGAACAGAAAATGTCCATCGCACACGAACTTTTAGAAATGGCTCACCTTACATTTTTTCTTCTTGATGTCGTGTAAAGCACATTTTTTGTTCCCCAGCAGAAAGCACACCTTTTAGTGTTACAAAAGCTGAAAGTGGCATGAAGGCTAGCAAAAGCGGGATTCCAAGAATTCAACTCTGTTTTAGTTCGACTATATTTTGTGTTTTGCAAGCTTTTATTTCCTGGTATAGATGAAGTTTGAAAAAAGCTCCCTCGTACCCTGATTGATTGATTTGTGGGGTTTAACATCTCAAAACCACTATTTGATTATGAGAGACGCTGTAGTGGAGGGCTCCGGAAATTTTGACCACCTGGGGTTCTTTAACGTGCACCCAAATCTGAGTACACGGGCCTACAACATTTCCGCCTCCATCGGAAATGCAGCTCCCTCGTACCCTAGCTCTTCAATAACTTCCTGGTCGTAAAATGCCACAGTCATTCTGCGGCAGAGGTTCTTACACTGCTGAAAGATGCTGCCATGCAGCACCACTTGGCCAAGGAGGCCATCGTTAAGCACGCACGATTCCAGCTTTGAATCAACGTATAGGTGTGCATGTGCAAAACACTTGGATGTCTCGGACACTGACTGCCTAACCTTACAACATCAACGGCAACACAACACGAGGAGCGTACACAGGAGCTTGTTCATTCCTTGTATAAGCGCCTTTCACAACAGAATTGCAGCACAATTCATTTGTGCTGTCTATCATCCAGTTATGCCGTTTTTGTCAACTGCTTTGGCGTGTTATGTCTTTTTTGAATGAATTAAAAACATAATGTTTCGTTTGTGCCATTTCTTTATAAGGATATAAGGACAGAGAGAGACAGAAATAGAGAGGAAAGACAGAGAGGTTAACCATGCTTGGCTCGGTTGGCTAAAGATAGAATATTTCAACTTCTCCGTAGGCATTGATAGCTAGTGCATTCAGAACGAAAACACCTACTCTTGTTGTTTCTGCATTGAAACAGTGAGCAAATCAAATAAGTGCTCAGCTTACTAATGCTTTTATAAAAGGTCACTTGCTCAGACAATGGTCTGATTAGAATACGTACAGCTCTCCAACTGTGCAAGTCCTCACAACTCACATGTGCTTTAATCGCTGCCACAACGGAGACAACATATACACAGTTGCGAGATTTGCCTTACATTTATTCTACTTAAATCTTGTTGTAAAGATACTGGCTTTACTGAAAAGCTTGAAGTGCACAGAGCAGTGCGTTTTTCTGGCCTTTAACCTTTACATGTAGTCATTTTATGGAAGCAGCCAATGTAGGTTCATTAGTCTTGATGTAGATTTGAATGCTGTAATATTTGTTCAAACATTGAAAATGCTTCAATGCACATGCCCACACAACACACAGAGTTCGGCATACAGTGCCCCTGTGAGTCAACTCTGTGCCGACGCCCGAGTAATTCCATTTCCATTTAATTTGAGACGTCAAACCTTACTAATACAATAGAACCTCGCTAACTCAAAATCATTAGAGAGATGGGAATAAACAGAGCTGAAACTATGAAAAATGATTTTAAAGGAGTGCTGCAGTGCTTCAGGGGTGCCTGAAGTGCGTACATGCAGCAGGGCTAGCAGACCAAAAGCCGTGTCCTCCTACTTCTGGAGCAGCTCATATTTTCTTATGTACCATGAAACTGCCCTTCATCTCCAGTCTGTGGACGAAAGCAGAAGAGATTCATTCACTTTTTACCTTGGCAATTCTGCATCCTGTCACCCAGCGCTGCAAGGTCAGCTTGTCCTCAGCACAAAGGTACTTGATGTACTTGGACGATTTTGTTTGAATTTGGGGGTGCTGCAAGAGTAAACACAAGGGTCATGAAACATATGATTCTTCACAGGTGCTGGGAGCAAGAATTAGAGAAATTATCTGCTAGCAAGTTTCTTATTTCAAAGTGAACAGTGACTGGAGCTAAAGAATTTTAAACATTTTACTAATCAGGTGAGAGTTATTCCGGCGCAATGCACATGTCACATAAGATCTTGACCTAGGCAGTTTGCTGCCAATTTCAGCTTACAACTTCCTGCCCACCACTTCGAAGCTGAACACTGTCCAGGCCGATATGCTCGCTGTATTTATCAACTCATTGTCCATGCACACAAATGCTGCATTTACGACTTTCATTGCGAGTCACCCATGAGCCATGTGTGCCAGTCATTATTAAGAAGAAGAAAATGCACTGTGAGAGTTTGCCACACAGTATCACACTGGTCAGCAGCAGACCTGCCTTCGCAGTTAGACTTAACTGCTGTTACTTTACCTGATTACCTTAGCTACATTCAAGTGAACGCACCAGTAGCAGTAGGAAAGCTACAACACCCTTTAGCCAAATTGCAAGAAGGAATTTCCTTGTGGCTTCGTGCTACAAATAGGTGTTTGTCTATTTCTTCCTTCTTAACTCTTCCGCCTTCTAGCGGGATTCCGCAGAACTCACTTGCGATGCTAGTGTTTGTGTGCTTTCAGGTTGTTGATGAATTCACTCTCCGTACTGCCAATTGCTAGCTTCTTGGTTAGCTCAATTGGTAGAGTGACCACACAGGGAAGGCCGTCAAGGTCCGGGATCGAACCCCGAACTTCGACAACTAGAATATCTTTTCTTTCAAGATATCCGTATGGATTTCCTTGTAGTTCTGTGCTACAAATGAGTGGTTGTCTATTTTTTTCTTTTTTTAACCCTTCCGCGACCTTGTGGCAATTCAACGCAGAACTCATTTGCAACGCCCCAATGCTAGCCATTCTGCGTTCCTCCGGATTAGCAAGAAAGCTAAACTTCTACCAGTACTATCTCATGTCACGCAAAGACAATACCACCACCTCTGCCACATCTATCATCTCCATGTTGGAAGCAGCATTTTATAGAGTCAATTCATTTGCAATGGTAGCGGAGTTTTGAAAGACAACTTTGCCGCAATACAAGTATGATGAGGTGAAGCATACTTAAAATCTGATGGGGTCACTTCTAATCAGACGCTGACTGTATTTTTCTTTGGTAAGTTTGAAAAGTTTCGAATACTAAAATTTTAGTGCAAATCGATTCGAGTAACAAACACTATTTGAAAAATATTCACAATTTCAAACATTCACACACTCCTAATGAAAACAACTACCGTATTTACTCGACTCTACCGCGCCCTCGATTGTAACGCGCACCCGATTTCCACCGCGAAAAAACAAAAAAAACACGTAAGACATCAATTGCAACGCGCACCCATTTCTCTCGCTGGCCCGCACGATCACACCACTCGAAAAAACGACTCCTTTCGGGAGCGTCTTCCATTTAAATATGAGGTACGGGCGAAGCTTGTGCCCATCTGACGTGTAACAGACCATTGCCGTCACTGTAGTTTTACCGTAAACCGATGTCAGCACGCGAACTTGCTTCGCCCCCTTCTTCTCGACGGTTGTGGTGCCAGGCATGTCGAAGTAAAGAGGCGTCTGATCGGCATTCCCGATTTGCCCAAGCAGGTAGCCGTTGTTGCGCCGCAAGTTTAGGACGAACCTCTGAAAACTGTGAAGCTTTTCATCGTACTCCTCCGCAAAACTTTTCGCATATGCATGTTCCCCTTCGGAGGAAAAAGCCTTTCCTCTTCATAAAGTTAGTTAGCCAGCACCTGCTCGCTTTAAAACTGGCTCCGCATTAGACCTTCTTCTAAGACTAATTGGATAGCCCGCACTTGGAGCAGTTCTGTCGTCACGGGCCGCTGTGCAACTCGCTGCTCAAGCACATACTCGCCGAGCAGCTCTTTAATTTGCGGAAACCGACCCTGGTGTGGTCCACAGAAGCCTTTGCGTGAAGTTTTGCTGTCGACAATCTTCTGCTTTTGTTTCCGCCGGTCCCGCACGCACGTTTCGGGAACTCCGAATGACCGCGATGCGGCCCGATTTCCGTCCGTTTCTGCACACGCGATGACTTTTCTTTTAAAAGCGGCATCGTGGTGCACTCGAGTTTTGGGAGTCGGCCCATCCACGCCGTCGATTCAAATGCACTACTAGATGACGAACTCCTCAGCACACGTACGAAGTGCCGCACATGAAAAACACATAGGCAGAAATGGCCGACGCGCTATGCCGACGCACAAAGGGGGCGGCCATTTTGGATTTGCCGATGGCAATAGATTGACCGTAATTTTTTTGTTCGTACTCGATTCTAACGCGCATGCGATTTATGAACTCGCTTAACCGGAAAAAAGGTGCGCGTTAGATTCGAGTAATTACGGTATACTGAGGGTCACGCTCAAAGATCTCGCCAAGCAACAGCTGAGCTACACTCTAGGATTCAACTTACCTTGATAGCAAAGCCATAATCTGTAGGTGCCTTGTACTTTTTTTTCCATCCGAAGCCCACATATATGTTGTTCATCTCGAAAGTTGTAAGGCAAACCAAATCTTTGGGCAACTGTAAAGAAGATGAATGCAGTGCAACGCTTACATTAAGACCACAGTGCATGTATCCCAGTGACAGCAGCCATCAGATTTCAAAGGGGCCAGAAGACAAAGTAATGGTCACCATATCATCTAATTTTAGCACTGTGCTTGTAGCCAACTACATCAGCAATATTATGAACACAGTCTTTAGTTACGGAACAATACTGTATTTACTTGAATCTAGGCCCACCCTGATTCTAAGGCGACCCCAAAAAGTCCGATGCCTGGAAAAAAGAAAAAAAGCTTAACTCAGATGTAGACCAAACTAAACAGCGAAGACAGCATTCACAAAGAGAGAGCATTTATTTACCATGAAAATAAAACAAAGCAGTTCATTCGTTATGCAAATAACTCCAGAAACATACAGCTGTTAGTCCTATAGTGTGTTTTTTTCGTCACCGCGTTTGCTAAAGCCGCACTAATTCCAAGTCGTCGTCACTGCTTCCCTCGTTGCTGACTTCTTTGTTGCTGTCTTCACACTGTGCCTAATCCTCGGTGCCATAAAGTACATTTGATATGCTGCACTTTTTTAAAAAGAGCACACAATCAAAGTTTTTGGGGTGTCATCCCACGCTGCAGCCCCCTCAGCGACGCAAATTTTTTTTGTCTACTCCGAAGTCCCACCCGGCTTGAACGTTGAACAACAACACCACGGCTAGGACAACTTTCCGTTTATAAGCGGTACTATAATGACACCGTCTGTTTGGCACCATTGAGCTACACCACACCCAAAGCACTCAAAACGCGACTCGAAATGACAAACGGCTCTCCTCAACACTCACGACAAAGATCAAAATGGCGGCCTAACAGATGCCTTACTCATGTACTTAAGCTAGGTGTTGGCTCGGCTACTAGCGGCTACAATACAGTCTAGGTGGCGCTAGCTGTGCACCACTTTTTCTATGAAAAATGGTGCAATATTTGAAGTCCTCGAATCTATACCAACCCTGAAGTTTGATACAGTAAAATTTGAAAAATAGCTATCGGCCTAGATTCGAATAAATACGGTAAATCATTTCTCTTCGAATAGCAACAACATAGCACTAACAGCAAATATTTTCTCTCTCATTCAGTCTTCGAGCCACAGGTAAGTTGCGAATGAATAATATAGCAGTATAGTCTCAATGATACAAATTACGCAAGATTATGAAGTATCGCCAAAAAACATGCATAACTAGTATGTCAAACTTACTAGTACTAGTAGCCAAGTATAGGCAACATTATTTGTAGCCATTAACTATGGAGCAGTAATTGGGACATAAACGAAAAGGGATCACAAAGGACATGAAAGCAACTTCTTCACGAGTATGAATCGAACCTACAACCTTCGGCTGCTCTGCTGCCAACTTTGATGGGCATTTTCTGTGCATGTAAATCTGAGGGATACGAAGTTCTTCAGCATAGCCATGATGGTGAGTGTGGAACACTTTTTTTTTTTTTGCAAGCCGGAGTCACCAAGGACATGACATTTCTTTACAACCCAAATAATGAAACCTCCCCACGGCATTAAGTATGCTATTATGCCAATGGCTGCCTACTAACTTTCAAGAGACCCCAATTCGGTGAAGATTACAAGGATAAGACTGCACGGGAAGTGTTTGAAGCATTCACAATGAAATGCAAAGCTTCTGCATGTGTTAGCATGCCTTCCATAAATCTAGCTGACAAGGGGTGTTGCTAACTGTGTAACTGATCTTATTTAAGGGGGGAGGTGGCATTGAAAAAAAAACTTTTTTATTTGTTGACCTATAGCAATGACATTTGGCATGCATACTCATAAGTGTCTCGAATAGGGAAATATGCAGCTTCATTATGATAGCTTCAGAAGTTCTCAAGTTACATAATGCTACATGGTCCAATTACATAGTCTGCTCGTGGAAAGCCTAGCGCTGCAACAAAACATGCCAGGAAGCTGCGAATAGTGTTGATCTTTACTCAAAAGAAAGCTACAGAGTATGGCACTCTCGGAATTTTTGAATAAGTTCTCTTTTTTTTTTTTTAGAGATCATCCTGGCTGCCGACACACATTGTCAGAAACAGTGGCACGGACAAATCGTCTAAAAAAATAACAGGGCCATAAAACAAAAATTGAAGATTGCTGTACCACAAGCAGTGTTCAGGGATTCAGGAAAAAAAAAAAAAACAGAATCAAAATCGGTCCAGTCATTCCCGTGCTACTCTTTCCCCGAGCAATGCACAATGTCCAAAACATACTTGTGAGGAAAAGCCTGTCGAAGTTTTCGACAGGCTTTTTCCAATGAACTTTTTTGTTTCTCGTTGGATATTGATGAAAATTGGCACAGACACTAAGAATGGCCTCACAGTGCTTCCACAAAAATTTTGAAGCGATATCACAAATACTTTACGAGAAACAAATTATTTCTTCATTGAGCCATGTGGAAGGGCTGAGCATAATGTCAAATAACAGTATTGAGAAAGCTGCGTTCAAAGTTTCAACTTTTCTTTACGTCTCTAAGGCACCTAAAAATTGTGATCTCAGGTTTGTCTTGTGATATTTGACTTCTTTTCATGATTTACCCCTTTTCATGATTTACAAGGAACAAGTATGGATTTCAAACCAAGTTCTTTGTATGAAGGAGTGGTGTGATAGGTATGACAGAAAAGATTGTAATTGAATAAAATCATATATTGAAATTATCACATATATTTTTTGTGCTGAAATTGTAATTAGCATAATTAGGTCCTTGATTACAAATATTCACTGAACTTTTCTTTATTTGGAGAGACGTTGCACCAGAAAAATGGATAACACCATGACGGCCTATGCCTTCTTTCCAAATAACAAAGTTATGGGCAGAAGACTGGTGGCATAGGAATTTCTAGCAGTATAATTAATGACATGAAACAGGCATATAAAAATTCGTGCCCCTGATTCATACATGCTCTTTCGCCGCTCTAGCCGTGAAACGCATCATCATACAGCCGGTCGCGGAAACTCTAATCTGCAGCAATTCATTAACCTCGGAACATTCATAGACGTTCGTGGCGATATCAAGCACGGCTCCAAGCACATCTGAATCACATCACAAAAACTTATTGACAGCACTCCATATGACCATGGGGTGCGCGGCCGCGTGGACAGTGCAGCTGGCGCGTAATGCACTTGCCGGCGGCGTTCAATGACGATGCGCGAAATGTGTAACTACGATGACAAAAAAATCGGCGCGCACTGCACTTGGCACAGCATTTTCGAATGACGACGCGTGAAACTGCTAGCCGCTGTTCCGAGCAAGCCTTGGCAGTGAGGGGGGGGGGGGTGACGAGCTTTAATGTGTGGTCCACTGCCGATGCGTAAAATGCCCGTACGTGATTCAGAGGAGCTAGCGAGTGATGTGGTATTCCTTGCGAAGAAGCACGTCGCCAAGAGAGCGCTTGCGCGTCGTTCCTGCCCGCAGTCTCGCTGTCGGCGGAGTTAGGGCTTAAGCCGACTCCGATGACGCGCCGCACTCGTAGACCGCGCGCCCGCTCATAGTAACATGATCATGCATCCGCTTACTGCTCGTAACTAAAGCGTAATTATAACTTAAGTGATTATCAAGCCGGCAACACGTGACGAAGTGGCGATTTTCGAGAGCCATGTCCTCACGATGCACAAGCAGCAGACGAAGATCTCCCAGAGCGAGCATTGGGCCAATGGCGAGGCGAGCTGAGGCAACATGGCGACCACGGACCAATCAAGGGCCTCAAAACTGACCTTCAAACATTTGCTTTTTGCTCGCTTGTTGATAAAGGGAGGAGCCAGCTGAGGTGGGAAAGTTAAACACGGAGAAATGCTCTTTCCGATGATCCCAAGAAGCCGGCTCCCGGCCCAAGCATCGCGAAGCTATAATTTTTTGAAAATCACCGTTTTCTCGCCATTTTCAGAAAAAGTTTTGCTACCTAGGTGGGTGAAACGGATTTTCCGAAGCACTTCTGCGCGGTTTTCAGTGTAGATATTTTCGAACCAGATAGAAAAAGGGTTCCAGAAACTGAAAACTTCAGTTTCAAAAAATCGATTTTTTTGCCATTTTTCGCGATCCCAAAGCCGCATCCCCCCTTAACAAGTAAACTGGACTGGACGCCTGCGCCATTGAAAGTGTAGATAATTTCCCCTCTCCTATGCACTTCGTTTTGAAGCATACTGGCATGTTTTCGCAATGAAACCAGTGAACACTAGTCCAGTTTCTTTCTTGTCCATGTTTATTTTGCAATGTTCTTAACTAGCAATAAAGATGACATCCCGTTTATACACGTCACAGCCTGATGAAGACTATAAGGCCAGGTTCTGTTTCATGTGATCGAGTTGTTGAAACCACTGCCTTGAGACAGAGATTTTGTCAGACGATTTCAGAACATTCCAAGCAAGAACTCAGTTGGAAGATTACATGTCGAAACAATTTTTTCTCGAAACTACAGACCAAAGTTGATAAGCACAGCTGTGATAATCCCAGTCACACTTCCAAGTCGAACAGTTTTCGTCAAATTAGGTAATGGTACAGATAAACAGATTACATCTCGTTGGCATGAGACAGAATTGGAAAGTGGCATCAGCAGCATGCTGGCTACCCCCTTGTGTATGTGCATGCTGCTCTGTCTGGTGAGGCCTCAATGTGCACCAGCCCAGCACACATTTGCCAACACACCAGAAAAGTTTAAAACAATGGGTTGTTCTTAGGCTTGCTTTCTACTATATCTCTGATTCACGCACACACACACACACACAAAAAGGAAAAAGCTCATAAAATCATCAAAATAGGAGTTCAATGTAGCTACAGAGCGAACTTGAAATCTTTGTTGCCAGTAGCTAACTTCACATCAACACTGGCGTATCAGCCATGCTAGTCGAAAACAACAATCACCTTCGATTTGCCCTTGGGGCAATAGTACAGCCCCGATGCACGCAGGAGGCAGAAGTGTTTCTTCCAGACTTTCTTGCCGTCACTTTTCAGGTAGAGGAGTCCCTCCACTTCGGGCACTCGTGAGCTGCCAAAGAATTCCTGCACAAAGATTGATTCCATAGTATATAAAAAATGCATTTATATTTACATTTGCCACCAGCAAGCAGGGCTGGGTAGTATCGAGAGTACAGGTAAACTCAGAAATAACCAACTTACATATGGCAATATTTTAAAACGAAAGTGTTCTTTGCTGGTGTCCACCACGGCTCTGCTGACATACTTTGAGCACACAAATGACCTTGAAAAACATACCATACTTACTCGCGACAACTTGGCATCAACTTTTCTGAAGTAAAGATGGGTTCATAAACCCACCTTTACTTCAGAAATGTTTACGCCAATTTGGGGCAAAGATTCATTACGCGGGAGAAAAAGCAGGAATTATAACAGCGAAAATTTAGCATGATGGTATTGCTTGTCTTGGTCCGCAAAATGCGCAGCGCATCGTTTTTGTAACCCCAAGCTCTTCTTGTTTTCTCCAGTAACGAACGCGTGCGAATCGACGCCGCAGTGTTGTCCAGCTGGTCGGTTTCCGTGCTCCAGCGCATGCTCGACCAACTGTCAGTTTAAGGGGAGATGGAGGTTATGAAAAAAATAATACAGGTCGAGACTTAACTAGAAATGCGTTAAAATTTCATCTAAAGAGCACAAAGTGCCTGTTAAAAGGTCGAAAGTGTGCAGTCTTCGAGCACCTTGCTGCCGATAATTCACCGCCGCTAGCCATTGTTGATCGCATGAGTCGAAGAGTCGAGCCTCACTCTTCAAATAACAACAGTTTCTCTCGCTGATGCAGCACAAGAAATAATAAAAAGAATCACTCTTCTGCGCGTTTTTCGAGCGCCGCGAGTGGCTTATCACATGGTACGAATTGGGGACCGCCATTGGCCGCTGCACACCTATATGTGCTGTGAAACCTATTTGCGGGGTCCATGTCTTGTCGAGCAGCGCAGCTGAACAATGTCTTTTCTCATGTAATTATTTCCGTTATGAATGAAAAAAAGGCATTGCTCGCAAATGGAAGCCGTTGTGCGGCGCGCTCTGTAGGAATAGGCTACAAGCAGCTGGTCAGAAGATTCGCGGCAGTTGTTGGCTTGCAAAAGCCAATGCATCAAAGTCATTCACACCCATCAGCCGGAAAGTTCGTGACGCGGCAATGGATGACGTCAGCGCCAATCTTGGGAAGGTCGACAAGAGCTCGCAGTGAGAGAACTTAGCAGGGACGACATTGCCATTATATACGACTGTATGTGGCACAAACATGGCTGCAAAATGGCATGACACTTGACTTAGTTTGGATTTCGCAGTCCTGTCGAACTTCTTCCTAGCTTGCAGTTGGCACAAGGCTCTGCCAGATGGAGCGGAAGTTTAACAAACGTTACATGGCCCTGTCTGTGAGCGAAATGTCCGTGAGGAGTCGGCTCGAAAACGCCGAGAGGGACAAACTCATGGTGCTGGCGTATTTTAGTCCCAGTGGCCACTACAAGAATTGTTGTTTTTGGTGTGCAAATTTCATCTGATTTAGTAGTATCTTTCATAAATAAAAACTCAATTTTAACTTTAAAACTCGTTTTTCTCAAAAACAAATTTCGCCATGTTTTACAATGTGCCCCTCCTTTTTCGGGCACTTCTAGTGCTCGGATCTGCATGAAATTTTGCCCAAATTTTTTCCAAAGTATGACAAATGCAATTATCTAGTTTAATTTCAATATTTTATTGTATAATAAAAAAATTTTATGTATACCTTTACTAGGGTAGGTGAAATATGGACTTTTTACGTCTATTATTTTTCACGTGCAGTACATATTTTGTATGCGCTTCCTAATTTGTTATTTGCACTCTACACTTTGTTTGAAGCATTATGAACTATCGGTCGGTAAGAACATTATTGGAAGCCCGGCAGAGCTTTCGCCGACCGGACCTTAGGTCTCCCGCGTGGGGAGGTCAAGACCTTGCTTGACCGCCGCTTCGCGGAGCTGCTGGACGGCCCAGAGTTGGTCACCGAGGCTAGGGCTGCACAGGGCAGCGGCCAACCGCGGCGGAAGGGTTCCGGATTTAGCACCTTGCGGATTTCTAGCGCAGTCCCGGAGCATGTGATTTAATGTGACAACTTCACTATGGCATATCTTGCATATATTCGTCGGATATATATTGGGGTATAATCCTATGAATGGTAAAAAATTACAGAATTTTAGGGATGAAAAGAGGGGCGGACAAAAGGGTTAAGGTTTTCACTTTGTCATGTTGCAGAGCTAAAAGTGTGCAACTTGCAAGAAAACTAGTTATATACTTGAAATTAGCATAAAAAGTTCCATAAACAGCTCAAGTTTCGTTGCTCTAGGGTGAATATTAAAGAAGAAGTGTCTTCGAGCAGCATCTCCCCTTAGAACCATCGGTGTGGATAGTGTACCGGCCGAACTGCAACCTGCACAACAGGTGTCCAACTAACAACAAAAACACAGCGTCGGATGGTGGCGCACAAACGTTGTGGGAGCAGGAGCACAACACACCATCGTTGCTGTTGCGTTTTGCATGGCCTCCGAGATGGCGGACGCATGGAGTGTTTTTATGCTGCATGCCCACAGTCTCGGAGGCTATGCGCTTTGTTTTTGCTCTCTTTTCTTGACGCTGAGCTTGCATAGCGCTACAAGCAAAGAGGTTTCTCTGCATTCGACAGATGGCACTCTACCATAAAAAGACTTTTAATTTTGATTGATGTCGTCCGAGCCGCACTGCTTACAACTAGTTTAGCATGTTGTCAAACTATGTTTTTACTTTTATTGTGTCATAACCGTAATTACTCGAATCTAACGCACACCTTTTTTCCGGTTAAGTGGGTCCATAAATTGCATGCGCATTAGAATCGTGTACGAAAAAAAATGAATACGGTCATTCTATTGCCATCGGCATTTCCAAAATGGTCGCCCCCTACGTGCGTCGGCATGGCGCGGTCGGCCATTTCTGCCTAATGTGTTTCCTGTCTGCGGCACTTCGTAGTGTGCCTGAGGAGTTTGTCATCTTGTAGTGCATTCACATCAACGGCATGGAAGGGCTGACTCCAAAGACTCGACGAGTGCACCACGATGACGCTTTTAAAAGAAAAGTCATTGCGCTGTGCACAAACAGACGAAAATCAGGGCCGCATCGCGGTCGTTCAAAGTTCCCAAAACATGCGTGCGGGACAGGCGGAAACAAAAGCAGAAGACTGTCTACAGCAAAGCTTCACGTAAAGGCTTCAGTGGACAACTGCAGGGTTGGTTCTTGCAAATTGAGGAGCTGCTCGCCGAGTATGTGCTTGAGCAGCGAGCGGCACAGCGGCCCTGTGACGACAGAACTGCTCCAAGTGCAAGCTGTGCAGTTAGCCTTAGAAAAAGTGCTAGCACGGAGCGAGTCCAAAGCGAGCAGGTGCTGGCTAACTAACTTTATGGAGAGGAAAGGCTTTTCCCTCCGAAGGCGAACGGGCATATGCCAGAAGTTGCTGGAGGAGCACAAAGAAAAGATTCACAGTATTCAGAGGTTCGTCCTCAACTTGCGGCAGGCACAACAACGGCTACCTGCTTGAGCAAATCGGGAATGCCGATCAGATGCCTCTTTACTTCGACATGCCTGGCACCACAACCGTGGAGAAGAAGAGGAGAAGCAAGTTAGGGTGCTGACATCTGGCCATGAAAAAACTAGAGTGACGGCAACGCTTTGTTGCACATCAGATGGGCACAAGCTTCCCCTGTACCTGATATTTAAACTGAAGATGCTCCCAAAAGGAGTTGTTTTCCAGAGTGGTGGGATCGTGCGGGCCTATGAGAAAGGTTGGATGACGACGGACCTGGTCGCCGATTGGATCCATCACGTCTAGCGGAACTGGCCCGGCGCCGGTTTGGGCCTGCGAGTGATGCTCGTGCTTGACGCGTTCAGGTGCCATCTCGACCAGTGAATCAAGGAAAAGCTCGCTGCGTGCAATACGGACCTTGTAGTCATACCTGGCAGCATGATGTCACAATTTCAACCACTAGATGTCTGCCTGAACAAGCCGGTGACGGACAAGATACGGGCACTCTACACTGACTGGCTGATCAATGGACGACACGATTTCACGCCAGGCAACAGGATGAAGTGCACCTTATCCAATACTTTGCTGCGTGGGTGAAGGACGCGTGGTGTGCAATACCAGCAGCCATGGTCATCAAGGCATTCAGGAAATGTGGCATATCGAATGCCATGGACGGTACCAAGGATGAGATGCTTTGGGCCGTTGACAGCGATAAGGAGTTGTCTGACAGCGACAAGGACTGACCTATTATGCGACTCGTAACGCCCCCGCAGTGGTTTTAGCTACAGGGCTGGCTGTTGACTTTATGTTTTATCTTTCGAAACTCCAGTGCATTAAAACCCAAATACTTGTTCTCAATGTGCGAAGGTTGACTCCTATGAACTTTTTTTTCTTTTCTCTTCCGTCGTGAAAAATCGGTGCGTGTTACAATCGATGTCTTACTTTTTTTTTCGCCGTGGAAACTGGGTGCGCGATACAATCGAGGCAACGGTAGAATGGAATAAATATGGTATTTTGTGATATGACAGCTTGATTTAACGCTGTTTCTATGGTAAATGTGGGGGGCGTTAACTATGCGAGTGGGTTCATTACACGAGTAAATACTAAAGGATTACAAAGAAAAAAAAACAAAACCGGAAGGCAAGCATTTTAGGAAATCAAACACGCAAAATCGCACGGAATCAAACCAGCAACCTCTCAATTCTGAATGCGCGGCACTAACCACTACATCACGGAGCATACGTTGTCTGGAGTGCTCACAGAAAGCCATTTATATACGCCATACACCATTTTGCAGTCCTCAGAGCTTTGAAACTCTAGCGCGTTTTCGTTATCTGTGGCGAGATGGCCCGACAGGCTCGCGTTGGGCGCGCTCCGTAGGTCGTCGCCTCGACGAAGCGTTGCCTCCACAGACCGTGGTCTTTCCTGCACACGTGCTTATCAGAGTCGCAATTCCGGAGAGGACGAAGGTCACTTCGCACGCTGCCTTGGACGAAAGGAGCACGCTGCTGACGCACGATGCAGGAAGATGTGTGACAGCTATTCGTGCTTGTTCTGTCTATACTTGTGCGCTCGTTTCGTGCATCTTTCTGTTTGAACAGCGTGCTTTAAATGTCGAGCTGTGACAATGTTAGTTTACACTCATCCTGTGTATGCTAATTTCATGCGTTCTTTCTGCTTGAGGTGTGGGCTGCAAGTGCTGAACTGCTTACCGTTTTTAATGTGACTTCGCAATTTTTGCTGTTGCTGAAACAATGCACAATAAATGCTCAACTACCTCTGTAAAGATAAGCTTCGCTTTCGTGTTATACAAATTCCTATATAGGGAGATCAGCCGCATTTTTTTTATAGAACACAGTAGCATTTAACTTAGTATTAGAGCTGTGCGGATAGCTAAGTTTCGGGCGGGAAGCAAATTCAAATAATGAAGATTGAGTGCTAATCGAATCAATAATTGTCTAATATTTTTCTGATACTTCAAAACGAAATTACAGAAAGAAGTTGCAGGGAATACCAAGACATATTCTTACGAGATAGGAATATGAAAATCTCTTTGTGTAGGTTGATGAACGGAGAAGCCTGCCAAATCGTGTTCACTAGATGTCTTATAAAGATTGGGATAAAGCATAGGTGTTTATTCACATGATTTGGTACAACCAATGTGATGCGGACGACGTTTTACACAATGGCACTGGTATCGGGTCCAGGTCACAAGTTTTTTGCACATGATTTTTGCAAAGGCCGGATGACTGTGCTCTTTCCCAGTCGCAGACCTGGTCAAGTAGCTCTTTCGCAACAAAAAGTAGTGCATTACATGGTGTTCCTTAAAATAAAAAATATTCCTTAAGCACAGCAACCTGTACACCTAGCGGCAGCGCGACATTTGCTGCAGGAAAAGGAAACTGATGCTAAGTGCCGCAAAGTGATGCGGGAGATGTAATGTGCAGTACTCCCACGAGCTAGAAAAGCTTTATGTTATGCCGTTTCTCAAATATACCATAAAAGTTCATTAAGTAGGCCCTTGCTAATTAAAAAAAATCATTCAGATTTGTTCTGTGGTCCTAGCCAACATATGTGTTGTTCAATGATATCAACCACTCGTTAAGTTCGTGACATTTGGCCACAACAAGGTCAATTCAGACAATCCTCAGAGCACGTAGAGCGCAAAGTGCGGCACATTTGTGGTGTACAAGAGCAAAAACGGCATTTGAAGTCAACTAAAACAAGGTGGCGTCATTCGTAAGGTTTTGTCCACATGCAAAAACGACACTTAGCAGTTTTGTTTTAACTTAAATGCAATGTGTGCGCAGATATCACAAAGTGCAAATATGACTGAAGCTGTTGAAGATGAAGAGCTCGCTGCAATGGTCAGTGTGCTCCTGGAATAAGACTTGTTTGCTACAATGTGATGAATGAAGTATCAGTTACAGGACATTTCGCCTGCAAAGAATTATCGTGCATAATGTGGCAGAGGCACATAATAATGAAATAATACAAAACACTTATCGGAATAATTATAATTAAACACTGGAGTCTGGTGTTGTGGTTGCAATGAGAGTGAAGTTGCAAGATGGCAAAAACTGTGTCAGTCGCATGGCTACTATGCAAAGTATGAACTGGATTTATGCATTCATCAACATAATAAAAGTGTACTGATGTAGAACTCTCTAGTCTACTGTTTTCTTGATGCTTTCATTAATACGACGTTCAGTTATTTCCGGCCTTTGTTTCAGTGCCATGAAATCAGAATTAACAAGCATTTACTATTCATAATGTTATGGGTGTTGGTGTCATATTTTACAGGAAGAGACGCAGGCAAGAGTAAAGATGGCTGACCAACAGACTCGTCCCTCCGTAACACTATCTTCCGGCCCAATAAAGTGGAGGGGTACAGGTTCTCTGAGCAAGCAGCACATATGTGTAGGTCCATGTCTGTGTGCCTGCACTCCCGCAGTACAGATAACATTTGGGAGGCAATGTACAAGCTTCACTTGAACAGTTACCATGACTGCAATAGACGTCTTTTGATGGCATGGATGCAGTTACCACACACAGGAAGCACATGCAAGCTTCACAAGGAATGAAGCTAACATAAGCCTGCTGCCGCCAATTGACACTTACAAAGAATTACGGCTAGGTGCCGCACTAGTTATGACTCCTCTAGCATTTCAATGCAGAACAACCCTCAGCATGTCAAAAAACTTTCATTTGGTCAGGCTTCAGTATGGCATTTCCTCACAATGAGCCTGTGAGGAAATGCTAAAAAGAGAAAAAGAAGGTACGTACGTCAATCAATGACAACTTGGCATCGTCATCCAGCTCGGCCCCATGTTCTGAAGAACTTCCACCCAGCAGGTAGTTCTGCGTAGGGAAGACATACGTGCATATCAGTGAGGCAAAGCACACTACTGTTATGAGCGATTGAAAAGAAGTGCAGGGGTAAAAGAGGCACCAGAGAAAGTTACACTTTCTGCTCACGCCTGTGCTAATCGGCACACTTTTTTCCTTATCATTATCTTCTTTTCTTTTTCTTCAATAAACCTCAACAAAACCATTATCAACATGAATGAAATTCTCAATGTAATAAGGTACTTATTTTTTTACCACCATGTTAGCCGAATACAATGAAGCATGTTTCTACTATCTGTGTGCCTTCTCCTCTAAGACCAGTTTTTCACGTGCTAAGTCGCGCCCTGAATCAATACCAGCTGGTCCAGTACACTACTTTACACAGGATCATACCAGCGTAAGTTTAATGTAGCTTTAGTGCAGCTTTAAAGAACGACAGAGGTAATAAAGTGCGACAAAATATGGTTCTTGGTGAGGAATACTTGAGACTGAATAGAAGCAGAGTCGCTCCCAAAGGTAGGAATCAGGCCTCCTCACTAAAGGAACGAATGCTCACCACCCAGCTTGACTGAACTGCTATAGAGCTTTAGAATAGTATACACTCAATTTGCATTTGTTGTGGTTGCCCACTCTTTCCATCACTTAGTTAACCTTTTAATGCCTGAATTCTGAAACTGCAGAGCAAAATACAAATTAGTTTTAATTTTCCAGCTTTAAATAGCAACATTTAAATGATTTCATAATTAAATTTTCTAAAATGCAACGTTAGTGCATACTTTTACTTATGTCGCGAATTCTGGATATGCCACAGAAGTGAGAACCTTACAGCAAAAAAAAAAAAAAAAAAAAGCACCTCAGCACATCGTAACATGTCATGCGCCGCGCCTCTTTGGTGCGTCCACACCAAGTAAACAGTCATTGAAGATGGAACTTACCATGTCACCCACGCAAGAAAGAATGAAAAAGTAAGCTTTTGCAAGCGCTGTGCGCTCTTAGTCCTTAGCTAACAAAACAATTGGCTCTAGCATGAAATACTTTAGACGAGACGGCGCTAGATTTTTCACACTAAAAGCTACGTTTCCCGTGAGTGAGTGAAGTGACAGCTGGCATTAAAGGAGGCACAGGTTTTGTGACTTGTTTGCTCAAAGTTTTTCAGTATGTCGCGAATTAGCAACACTCGGCACTAAAAGGTTAAAGGAGCACCGACACTAACATCAAATATTTTCAGATTGTCGCTCTATATAAGAGCAGGGTGCCCGGGAATGCATCGTATATATTTTTTAATACTGCTACTATGAAAAATCACTTTTGACTTCGATATCGAGGGAGCGGCCTTTCCGTAACATGTCATGGCAGTCTCACATCATGGGCCGACAGCAATTCACAACTAACTAGTAGCAGATTGGCCATCTGCTCAGTGGTGCCCATCAACAGCAATGGGTGCACTGTGTTCAGCGACTCCGACAGTGTTTTCGGTAATTTAGGCTGCATAGAGGACGCAAAGTATGCACTCGGTGAAGCTGTGTCGACTCGTCAGGATAATCTCCATTGCTGTGAGGCTGGCCTGCTGGTGCTCAGCAATGAACACTCTTAAGATCAAAGAAAAAAGTTTGGCAGATCCCAAGTACCTTAGAGATCAATTTTATGCGAAGCATGCGGATGGAAGGTGACTGTACTTGTAATTTTTTTTCATTGAGTGAGACATAACGATGTGGCGCTAAAGATACGTACAAATGCACGTACAGACATATGTTAAACAGCCACATATGTTATATATAACCAGTTCTTTACAGTTGTGTAGTGATGCCAACCCCCCTCACCCTAACCCTCATTAATGTTAGCAACATCAAAAATGGTAAGTTGATACAAAGCACTGGTGCTCACGAGAATGGTAGCCCTGGCTAAAGCTACATATATCAACTTCAGCGGATGGCAGCCTAACTACAGCAGTACTGCAAAGAAATGCTGCGCATTTAATATTCGGTACATGTTGGCAGACTTCAGTGTGTGGAGAGCGTTAACACTGTATACCAAAGAAACGAAAATGTCCCTTTTGCAATGTCTCCAAATCGTGTCAGAACACCTTTAATGGGAGCCTACAAGAGGTCAGCATATGATGCATGCGCAGCTGCAGCAAATGCTAATGCAAAGCTTTATGTACGCTATTCTAAAGCTCTCTGTTGTTGTCGCCATGCATCAATCGATTCGTATTGTTTTAAACCTCCTGTTTCTAATGCTGTCATTTTAATTAGGCAGCATGACTTTTTATCTCTTGGAATGCATTTAGATTGAATTAATTTACTTCTCTCTTTAAGATAATAAAGCTAACCCTGTATGTTTTGCCTGCAGTGACAAGTATCCCGGAGGAGTACGGCCACTAGCGCGAGTCCGATCTTAGCATGCCACAGAGCCCGCGTTAGCAGTCAAGGTGGCGAGAACACGATATTGCTCAAGGTCGCAACACTTCATTGTCTGTGGAAACACCAAAACGCAGTACAGCCCATTGCAAAGGCGCGGCGAGAAAGCAAATGGGCTCATCCACGCCACGGGCGAAAAGTACTACACAGGGTGCCACGAGCACGTCCCCGTGGTAAAAGTGATTCACGGAGACACCAGAACCAAGGCCCGGTTGCTCTAGCGAGGGAAAAGGCACTCGCGTTGGCTTCGGAGAGGTACGGGTCGACGCAGCCTGGCCACGTACTAGGACACCGTACCGCACCTCGGCGGCTACAAAAGGTGAGCATTCACCTCGGGAGCGAGGCGCCGTCAGCGAAGTTCGAAGAGCCCCAAACAACGGGAGTTGACGGACGGAAAAGGGAATGTGTGCTCACCATAAGGTGTCCCGGAGAATCTCTGACTCACTCTCGATGCACGCGCGCAAAACCTCTTGGGAGACCCCGCGCGCGGCGCCACAGTTGACATTCGCTACCGGTTAAGAGGGGTTCAACGTAATTTCATACTCTCCTAGCGCGGCAGACAGCGGAGGAAGGGGAGTCATGTCGGGACATGAGAACGGCAGAAAAGGCAACAAAGCCCGCGCAAAGGCAGCGGGCTAGCCTCAATTTCCACATGCCTCAGAAGGTGTCTTATTATTATCAAAAGCTCGCAACAATTATGGCATGAAATCTGTCATATAGAGCTGTTTTATTATAAAACTCTGGCACTCAATCTAGTGTTGTCATGTAACCTACAATTTCAAAGAAAAAAGCTCCACAATTCCTTCTTTTGTCACCGTAATTCACTCTATTTTGTCCTTGTTACTTTGTATCGCAGTTACTGCACTTTTATTTTTGTTGATGCGTTAATTTCTTGTGACTTAGTTTCTAGTGTACTTGTTGCTTACTAGTAGATCCTTTCTTGCCATCTGTTCATGCATTTTTTTTCATCATTGGCCCCCTACACTCTTCAGACTATGAGGCACTGGTCTGCAAAATGACTCTTAGCATTTTGTCTAGCGATACCATAAGCTTGGGACGTGACAAGTCTCAAGTAGCTGTAGAGCCAGTGTGCTGTAAGACGACAACAATATAGGAATTTCAATATTTCCTGCAGCACCAACTAGGGAAGCAACCTGACATCGTTTGATAATTGGCGAACGAAGCTGCCCACTTAGTCTCACCTCTGGCCTCACGAAGAGGTCGTACTTTTCTTCCCGTTCCACGAATAGGATCCGGTTAGATGAGTCCCGAGTCCAGAGCAGGAGATTCTCCACCAGATTCTCGTGGTCCTCATAGACACGTTCTGCGTCCAAGTAGAAAAGGCATTCCCACCTCAATGGAAAAAAGTTCGACCAACAGCAAAAAACTTGATCATATCGCAAATATTCTTCAATTACCGTATTTACTCGCATAATCCTCGCACTCGCTATAATTCTCGCACCCCCCACATCGCCCAAGAAAAAATACGATTTTTTTTTTTCCTCGAGTAATTATCGCAACCCCGAAAACTGCTGCAATAATGTCGTCTGCTCGTTCCAGCCATTGATGATAATAGCGCGCACCATCTGGCGCCATCTCTTAAGCATTAAGCATACTATTGCACAAAAATCCAATCCAAGCCAAGCCGAAGTGGCCAGTGCGCGCTGCGGCGTGTTTTGTGTGTTTTGTCGGTAATCTTGTCACGTTATGGGGGGATACCGAAGCTGCACGGCTGCCTTCAAGCTGATAGTGATAGATCATGCACTAAACAACGGCAACAGGGCCACCGGTAGGCCCTTCAGAGTCTACGAGTTTTGTGTTCGCTACTGGTGACGGCAGCTGAAAGCCACCAAGACGCGTTGAGCCTGCCGTGTGCCTAAAACTGGGATCGATGGTAAACTTTACTTCTTCAGAAGGGAACTGCGAACGATTCTGTTAAATAGCCATCAGCCCAATACTGACGTCCTACGCTTACTTTTTGAGGGCTCCTGTTGAGCGCCGACCGCTACCGCAACGCCCGCAACGCCCTCAAGCTTTGCGTATGGAATTCTAATTCTGAACTATTTGCTTCCACTTTTTGTGTCTCAAATAAATCTTGCCTTGTGTTGAATCTCTGCTTTTATTGTTGAGGTAAGTTCTAATTAGTACTTCCTAAAGCTTGCTGTAAGTTGCTGGTGTGAGAATCCCGATTTGCGGCCACTTCGTTTTCTGTTTCGCTCTCTGTGTTTTCGTAGAAAGTTTTCCTCGCGTAATTCTCGCACCCCCCTACTTTGCATCGGTTTTCTGTCAAAAAAAAGTGCGAGGATTATGCGAGTAAATACAGTATGTGATCATACGAAACACAGTCAATGACTAAGGCACGCAGCAACAAGGATGGGTAGCATGCCCAAGCCACCCATTCTTGTCACTATGTGACTAGTATTAATAAAACTTAGACAAATGCCCTGATGCAACCCTCGTTGACACGGTAATCTTTTGGACATGTGCATTATGGGTATAAAAGTGCTCCTCGAGCGCATGATGAAACCGGTTGGTAATGAGCACACGGAAACTTTCTTTGAACAAAATGCTTAGAACAAATCTTTCATGCTCGACTGACCCATGTAGAGCTGTGGGATGCTCTCCAGGATCGCCCACTTGGGATCCATGGGGACGTGGTTCTTGTCAGCAAGCAGGCGCGTCACGTGAACGATGCTCATGCGCTCATCCACCAGCAGACTCTTGGCGCTGTTGTCGGCGCTGAATGCCTTGATGAACAGCTGCAAATGCAGTGACAACTCACTTGTTGAGACACACTACTTGTGCAGTAGTTAGCTTGTACTCGGTACTACAGTTTGTCACTGCAAAAACACCTCGTACGGCAGTGCAGTACCAAGCAGGGTACAACTTTCACATACTGACCTCCCCCATGTGGACGTATGACAAGAATTCATTATAGGTGAACTACATGATGCCAACCAGGAAGAGCACCTTTTTTCATGGACACAACAGAGGAGTTGCAAGTACTGTACATTGTAGGCCAGCGATATAATAAGAGCTGGGAAATATTCACAGGTGGAAAAAAAACTATTTTCCTTTCGGAAGCCTCAATTGAATACAGTCAGACCTTGATACAGGTACAATTTATCTTATACAACAAAGGAAACATGTCACTTTGCAGGTCCAGCTTTATTTCGATGAAGTGTGCCCAGACAAAGTAGTGGTGAGCACACCGAAAGCTATGCAGGAAGGGGGTGACACTGAGGCAAAAGGATGTGCCCCACTTTCAGCACTAAGCATTTCTTTTTATCTTCAAATGCGCGGCTTACTTCCAGTGTTATTACGAGCACGAGAACGTGGCAGCATCTCATGGCATCCATGGTAACTATGGAGCTCGCAATGCTGAAATTAGCCAATGGCCGTGGACTTCCGGTTTACAGAGTAATCGTTTGGGCATACGGCATCATTTGTCAACATATAAGGGAACGTTTTCTAACTGACTTTGAGAATTAATTACAAACTGCAAGCTGAGTGCTGTGCTACAACACCTGGCTCGCATGTACTCGGGAGCCTCGACAACAAATTAGCTGCTGCTTTGTGGGGACCTTAAAGGGGTACTGACACGAAAACTTTGGCCTCGCGTTTTTCTGCTGCAATGTGTTGCTTGGCACTTGTTAGTCATGACACGACACATCGTCTGCTGTAGCACGTGACAGATAATTAATTACAGGCCCCTCATTATCGATCATTGTCAGTTTTCGTTTGAGAGCTCCGAAAACTGGGTGCAACTGTCGCCACCTAGCGTGTGCAGCTCTTGACCACGTCAACACACTGAACTGTGACACACTTCCGCATCGTCCGCATCAAGAATTGCTATCCTAACAGAAAACGAGACTACAATGTCCACAAACGCAAAACTTTCTAAGCGTGCGCCACAACCACACACCCGCAACCAGCCGCCGAGAAATATATACAGCGCGAACAAACGCGCCAAAACAAAAATGGCGGCTATGATGACATCATGACTTGTTTTGTTGGGTCCAGCGTGGTGACGTGACAAAAGTAGGGGGTCCCAGAAGGCTCCTCTTCGATAGTGTCAACGACACGATGGAGTTAAAGGCTCATGCAAACTTTCAAAATTCTTTTAAATACCTTCCCAGCTATTTTCGCTGATGATATACGAATGTTCCTGGGAATGAATCCCACAGGCTACCTCGGCCGCGAAATTTCATGTCAGTGCCCCTTTAAGGCCATTACAGAGTCTGCAACCGGAGAAGTTGTTCACATTCACTTGTCATGAAAAGTTGTTCTGTGTACACAAATTGTCATCAGTTAACGAAGTCGTCGTAGGCGAGGAGTAAAGGCAAGCCCTCCTTGTCATCATGTCCACCATCGATGGGTGGTACGCCCGCTAAGCAGATAGGCAGCAATGCAATGACAAGTTGAAAAAACACATAGCCAATCTTACGAAAGAAGCGAAAACATGTGCAACTAAACTGTCAGCAAGATTGGAAATACACCTCCAACCGCTTGCAGGGGATGCTGGCAACCGATAAAATGTGGCCGCTGTCAAGATCCAAGCAAAAGCCAAGCACCAAGTGGCACGAATCATCAAAGATTTATAGAAAAAAATAATTTGAATATGCAGTCACTGTTTTCATGCTGCGTAACAAATACTGAGCTGAGAATAATTAAGAAGTCCATCAAAATATTCAAGTTACTCAAAGCAGCTTAGCCAAAATTACTACACCAAGGTAGGGTAAGGTGACAAACAAAATGAAAAGTTAACTGCAGCAAAATTGGACCGGTTGAATCCTGTATGACTGACCACAGAAGCGCCTGCCGAGTGGAAACACACAACCCAAACCAAAAATTAATGACATCTTCGCAAAAGAAACCCTGTTGGGATGTGAAGCAGCAGCGTTGCGCACGGATGCGATCGGCGTTTTTCACTCGCGCCTCGTAAGTGTCGTTGGTCTTCCACTGCCGACCCTTGCATTCGACTTCCCTGGCTCGCCCCTTGTCGGTGTTGAAGCCGCGATGTCGCCATTCCCAAACACAATTGGCTTTGATAACCCTCGCAGCGCCGGTGACAGCCGGGTTGCCTAAATCTCTTTGGCCCATATCTTGGCGGGCGAAGGAGCTTTGCTTTTTGGCGCAGGTGAAGGAGAGAGTGACGTCAACCCACACTACGAGGGAAGGCATTACCTACTTGGCACTGCCCCAACACCTGTGGCGAGGGGAGTGCGAAGCGGCCCATTGGCACAGAGACACGGACGAACAGCGTTACACAGGCTAGTCAAAGAGCTGCTTAGCATCTAAAAAGCTGCAGCAATTGCACAGTGCTAACGTGTTGTCACGGCAAGCTTCCAGAGCATGTAGTCTTGAACAGATTAGAAGCAGCTTGGTACAAAATAAATCCTGTGAACACACGTGTAGGTTTTTGAAATAACCTGTCGCCACAAGATGTGCCCCTTTGGGAAAGCATTTTGGATTCTGCACTACTTCTACAGAGATATGACCTCGTCTCCTTTGTTCTTTGAAGGCATTTTAATGAACACAGAATGGAATATCTCGCTGCATTTTTTTCGTACAAATCTGACTGTGATTTTTGTTTACATTCATCCTTAGACACACGAAGGACATTGAATGGCACTCTGCTATGTCAAGGTCTGACTGTATATTGTGTCGTCATGGCCAAATGCGATGCTACATCCACTGCACGCACACACACACACATGCCAGCAGCACAAGAGAAGAAGGCTACCTTCTGCACGCTGGCCTCCTTCATTTTCTCCAAAGCTATCCTAATCTTTTCAGCCTTGAGACGCGCAGCTTGCTCAGCCTGAAGAGAGAGAGGTGAGAAGAGAGTTCAATGAGAGGAAGGAAGCACAGTTGAGAGGCACACTCACGCCTGTTTACAGGCATGGGTGACTTCTAGAAGACGGGACGTGCAAGCGCAGACACAAGAAAGAAGTCAAGAAAGAAGTCAGGACATTACAAATGCCGATTAACAACTGTAAATGTGCATAATGGCGAAACAGAAAGAAGGCACGAAAAGTTATCTGTGCATGCCCAGGCAAAAGGCGAACCTATCTTTCCCGTACACATGATGGTCTACGTGAAAGATTGTCTATGTTAACGCATCTGATTTCCTCTTAGTGCAAGTTAATTGATGGCTGGTTCACGCATGAGCTACCACAATTCATGATATGCCATACTCCGATCATTAGATGCTCTTCTTCACTCCTGTGACGCTACCACGGTGTAAGAATAGGTAATGTTAGGTGATGACACTGCGCCCGGCGCTGCATCCAGGTTGTGTTCACCTCCTGGGCTGTGTCCCTCTGGTGCGACAGATGGCGTTCACTGGGGAGCGACACCGATTTGTGTGTAGAAGGTAATTGCTGTGAAGCCTCGCTTGTTTATTACGCCCGATATACATAAGTACATGGAATCCACTAAATTAATACACTGTGACTTGCCACTTATGCAAGCGCTCTGATTTATGCAGAGCCTTGAAAAGCAACACACGCTCCGTACAAGTCCAATACCTAGACTTGCAATTCGGGACAAAGCACACTTGCCCATTTCAAGGTGCAGCCTGCGAAAAGACCGCTGACGCGAACTCGAAGTGGTATGCAGCGTCAGGGTATATATACATGCACTGAATCACAAATCGCGAATCAGCAATACAAATGCACAGAAAAGGCTCGCAGGCCCAGGGAAACACGTTTCTAAATCAGAAAATCCTATGCACACAAATCTTTCAGGTATATATTCCATTGCGTGCAAATACCTGGTGCTCTAGGGAGCCTTCATGTGCGCGCTGCCTCCTAGGGAGCCTTCATGTGCACGCCGCCTCCGTATATAGTAGTGCCATCCCAACTCGCGTGATGGAAACTACTTGTAGCTCAAGGTCATTGGTGAAACGATCTGCCCGCGCCCTTACCTTGCGCGAAGTGGCGGGTGTCAGCACCTAACTTATTCTTACACCGTGGACACTACATAACTGCGCATTAATTGAATTACAGCGCGCACTTACTCTCTTGATAATGCAGAGAGATTAGATGATCAACTACCAGTAAGCAATCCCTTATCTTCCAATAACCTCTAGTGAACATAGTGACCTGTCTATCCTAAGACATGGCGGTCTTTCTCAAATGTTCGGCAATAGGCAAAGTCGTGCGCTCCTAGAAGAAAGAAGCTTGCGTCCAACAGACGATTTAGAAGTGAGAAGGTACAGATGGGTGCACACTCAGTGACCCTTCTCAAATGTTCAGCGGTAGGCAAAACCGTGCACTCCTAGCAAGAAGTCACCACTTTTGTCATGTAACTACTGACCCAGACTTCGACCTTATGGCAAGCAGCAGCTCACGAACGACAGATGGTTCGAAAGATCGAGAATACAGACGTGCGTACTCGGCAGTCTTTCTCGAATGCATGACAATGGGCAAAGTCGTGTGCTTCTAGTAAAAAGAAGCTCGCACCCAACAGATAATCCAGAAGAGCGAAAATACATATGTGTGCATGCTTAGCAGTCTTTCTCAAATGGTCATGGACAGCGTAGTGTGCTCCTTATAAGGAGAAGCTTGCGCCCTAAGCAAAGGTTCAGAAGATCGAAAATAGACAGGTTCACATACTCGGCAGTATTTCTAAAATATTCGGCAATGGGCAAAGTTGTACGCTCTCCGCAAATTTATTTCAGTGTTTGTCGAAACTCATGTGGGAAAGAACTAGAACTGTTAGCTTAAAATGAATGTTAAAAATATAAATGCAACAATCAGCACAGTGTCTGTGCCCCCAAAGTGACAGACCTTCCAACCAAGTAACAACAGTTTAGGTAGACTGAATGATATATATCGCAAAGAGATGAATGTGAGATTAATTGACCAAGTAACAACAGTTTAGATAGATTGAATGATATATATGGCAAAGAGACGAATGTGAGATTAGTTGACCAAGCAACAACAGTTTAGATAGACTGAATGATTTATATCGTAAAGAGACGAATGTGAGATTAGTTGACTCACTGGAGGTGGAGTATCCAACTCAATACCAGCCTGAATAGACCGCAGCTTGACATTGATGGCCTCCAAGAGCTGCACACAAACAACAAACTTGCAACTTAGTCAGTGCACAATGAACAGCATTTGAGTGCAGTCACTCTCTAGATCTATAAGAGCAGCAGCTCACACAGTTCCTAAAGAAAAGCTGAGCAAAACACAAGACAGTAAAAACTTGGGCCTCTCATAGCAAGGTCGAACAGCACTACTGCACAGACAGAACAGAACACACATATGCACAGTGCTGATTTTCAACAGGAAATGTTTATTTTCATATTCACGCGGCCCATGTATATACATACTCAAGCAGGTGAAAACACATGGAAAATATGAAACAAGAACTCAAACGCACATGTTTTGCTGCAATCAGAACCCGTCGCAACCAAACTAGGGTGACAGATCGGGAAATCTCCTTTCCGTGTCGGACAGTAACATGAATGGTATGTGGACACGGATGTCATTCATTTTTTCTATTTCACAGGCTTTAAGAACTTCACTTGACAATCTATCTTTTGCCCTGTTGAGAATACATATGTGTTTTATCGAACATTGGAACAAAGCCACATTTCTCACTGTGAATAGCAAGATTGATTGATTGAAATAACATTATTCTGATTGAAATAAACTATTGAGACGTGAGCTCTCTTTTACCGACACACAAAATCCCAAAGGACAATTTCATCAGATTATCGGGCATTGGATTGTGTTGCTGTTCAAGGGGCATTTGTCGAAGCCCAGAGTTAACAAGCCAGTAATACCACTTTAATTTTCAAATTTAAATTTAGTTGAGTGTGCTATAATTCAGTCCCTATTTCACCATTCTCTATAAAAGTCATGCGAGCATAAGGTTTGAGAAAGTTTGTGGGGCCAGGTTAAGCATCTGTGCAATTTTGGTTACCCTTTGAGACTTGGTAGTAACGCAACGCCTGAGCAAGAAACATCAGTCCAGCCCAAATGGGCCTGAAAGCACCACTCAAGCAGCCACTCGAACAAGAAAGGCTGCCGTAGTGCCCTACATTCGCACCCTACCTCCGAATCTGAGGACTGTGAGAAGGTACGGTGTGGACATTATTTTTTCCATGCCTATGCGACAGCAGATACTTTGTAGGTAGGTCAACATTGAAAAAAAATACCGTATTTACTCGCGTAACGAACGCACTTTTTTTTTTTTTTTTCGAAACATCGGAGCAAAGTTGGGGGGTGCGTTTATTATGCGGGGTAAATTTTATGAAAACATTTTCGGGAGAAGGAAAAAAAGCGGTAATGCAAAAAAAAAGTTAGGTCGCTTAGCCTTTCGCAATTTACATACGCGTACACTGTTTGGAAACAGCTTCTTTGTTGCAATTTACTCATCTTCTGTGGTTGATGGCGTTATCTTCTGCAAGCTGTCCCTGGGCCGCCCCGCGCAAACCATAAAAACGCTTTGCGACTATCTTTTCTGGTGTAGCGTAGCGCTAGTGGCGGCCAGCCGGCTAATGAAAAAGATGACGAGCGCCAGTGGCTCGTAGCGCTTGAAGCTTAGAATGTTCGTCTGCTTCTGGCTGGCTGGACACCAGTGCTCGCTGCTCTACTTCGGCAGCCCACTCCCTGTACGTCTCATCCTTTTCATTAAACTAGCGACGACGGCACCTCTACGTCAGATGCCATCCCGCCGCTACAAATTGGTGACCACGGACACACGGACAAGCGACCAACGCTGCACAACTGCTGCCGAGCTCCGCGGCCATGTTACAGCCAGCACAAGTCAAACAGCCCCAATTCGACCCGCCACTACCATCGTTCCGGACCTCTCGCCCAGAGTTGTGGTTCGAGGAGTTTGTGGCGGCCTTGTATCACAACAGCATCTGGATCCAAGAGCTCATGTACGAGGTATTGAAATACCATCTTCCACAAGACATCAAACGCCGTTTCACATATTTCTCCTGGAGCCCTCGCCAGTTCGATGACTTGCGAGATGCCGTGCTCACGTTTTATGGCCTCAAACACGCTCCTTCTCCCACAAGCGACACAACAACATCTGGCTCATTACCTTTCAGGACGCCTCCCACACCACAGCCAGTCTAGACCATTCCTCTACCGACAACAACTGGCCACAGGTAACAAGGACCAACCTTTCGCGCCAATCGACCCGTTGTTCGAGAGACCCACGTGCAGGTTCTGCCAAAAAGACACGAACACGTCTCTCCGCCGCAGATTCGACACCGGCCGCTGCCCCGTGCACCGTCGGATTCACTGCAGAGACCTGGTCAGCTGCACTGTCTGCCCCGAGCTATTCGACGACCTCAGCCGGGCCAGCTGACCTTCCTGCAGACTCCACGCCTGTCCCGGCACCTGTGGAGGCCCGCAACACCACTCGGAGCCCGCTGTGACGCTGCGCAACATCAGTTCCCCCGGCACACCGGTGCCTGCTGCTCAAAACCTTGTGGACTCCCAGCACTTACTAACATCATCCTCGATGTATCCCACAGAAGTTCAAGCCCCCAAGCATGTACGGCTGAACGTGCATGATGCTGCGACGATGTCAGGAAATCCTGAAGACCTGGCTCATTGCAGGTGGAGCACACCGTGCATGCCCCAACAGACGCGCAGGTAAGCCATCCGCCTACCGCTCCGTACAAGTGCTCGGGCATTTCAACGCCGTCGATGGCCCCTGACAACTGTGACGCCCCAGACCCGCCACTTGATTTTGCGTCGACCAACATCGGCTCTCGCTCGAACAACGCGACGACTCATCGGCGTATGCCTACGTATTACATGTCGTCAAAGGCCAGAAAAAGCCATCTATCAGTGCCCCCTGAGCCAGCTCGTCATCACGCTAAGCCATGTCGCACTTCGTTGGTCCAAAGCGCACGACTTCCAACTTGTCTGCACCCTACTCAGCAGACCAAGTGGCTGCCACAGCCAGTAATGTGCCATCGAATGCGACTGTACCAGCACCGTCAGCACATTACCTGGGTTGACCGCACTGCCTGTCGACGTTCCCACCAGCACCAACATGTACATACAACTAGACCCACTGGATTGGCCGTACTACGCACATGCTACAATCCATCTTTTAAGCATCAGTGCCCGAATGCGCGCGACAACCAACCAACACTCTCCTCCTCCCACAAGCGACACAACAACATCTGGGTCATTACCTTTCAGGACGCCTCCTGCACCACAGCCAGTCTAGACGATTCCTCTACCGACAACAACTGGCCACAGGTAACGGGGACCAACCTTTCGCGCCAATCGACCCGTTGTTCGAGAGACCCACGACCCCGCAGTTTACGGATCCTGCCTCCGATGTGCCGGTTCTGCCAAAAAGACATGGACACTTCTCTCCGCCACAGATTTGACACCGGCCGCTGCCCCGTGCACCGTCGGATTCACTGCAGAAACCTGGTCAGCTGCACTGTCTGCCCCGAGCTATTCGACAACCTCAGCCGGGCCAGCTGACCTTCCTGTAGACTCCACGCCTGTCCCGGCACCTGTGGAGGCCCGCAACACCACCCGGAGCCCGCTGTGACGCTGCACAATATCAGTTCCCCCGGCACACCGGTGCCTGCTGCTCAAAACCTTGTGGACTGCCAGCACTTACTAACATCATCCTCAATGTATCCCACAGAAGTTCAAGCCTCCAAGCATGTACGGCTGAATGTGCATGATGCTGCGACAATGTCAGAAAATCCCGAAGACCTGGCTCATTGCAGGTGGAGCACACCGTGCATGCCCCAACAGACGCGCAGGTAAGCCATCCGCCTACCGCTCCGTACAAGTGCTCGGGCATTTCAACACCATCGATGGCCCCTGAAAACTGTGACGCCCCAGACCCGCCACTCGATTTCGCGTCGACCAACATCGGCTCTCGCTCGAACAACGCGACGACTCATCGGCGTATGCCTACGCATTACATGTTGACAAAGGCCAGAAAAAGCCATCTATCAGTGCCCCCTGAGCCAGCTCGTCATCACGCTAAGCCATGCCGCACTTCGTTGGTCCAGAGTGCACGACTTCCAACTTGTCTGCACCCTACTCAGCAGACCAGGTGGCTGCCACAGCCAGTAATGTGCCATCGAATGCGACCGTACCAGCACCGTCAACACATTACCTGGGTTGACCGCACTGCCTGTCGACGTTCCCACCAGCACCAACATGTACATACAACTAGACCCACTGGATTGGTCGTACCACGCACATGCTACAATCCATCTTTTGAGCATCAGTGCCCGAATGCGCGCGACAACCAACCGCACCGAAACGGCTCGTTGGTACTCACTATCGCCAAAAGGGTTCCTTCATCACGACCCTAGCCTGCCCCTTCCAACAGCGTACCTGCGTCGCCACCCTCGTACGCTGCGCCATTCCCAGTGTCACCCGCCAGAGACCCACTGATTGTCGACAGTCTCTTCCATTGACAACCTGAACTGCTCACGGGCCCTTTCTATTCGCGGCCCGGACACTCTTGTACATTTTGTTAATTTTTTATCGTGTAACACTCTAGGCGGGAAGCCCTTGTAGGGTAGCGCTAGTGGCGGCCAGCCGGCTAATGAAAAAGATGACAAGCGCCGGTGGCTCGTGGGGCGCAGAGCCTAGAATGTTCGTTTGCTTCTGGCTGGCGGGACGCTGTGGTCGCTGCTCTACTTCGGCAGCCCGCTTCCTGTCCGTCTCGTCGTTTTCATTAAACCAGCGACAACGGCAGGTCTACGTCGTCGGACGCTGTCCTGTTGCTACACTGGTATAGCACTCTGAAACGCGGTTCCGAAAACACAGCGCGGTTTATTAATGCATCTCCGCCATTGTTCCAACTACGTCTCTTCTCTCCTCAGCAGACTACCCACTACTAGCTTATGTCCCAAGTGTGTCGTGCCAGAAGAAGAAGAAATGTATGCCACAGATAGGCCCCCCCTGCAGACAAGTGGCCATGGGCACTTGAAAAAAAAAATGATCAGACGGAGCTTGTCAGAATGGGTGCCGGCTTGATCCTTTCAATGCTGACTGTGTCTTCATGCCCATTACGCAAGATTGTAAAATGATGTTCAGAACGCTTGATG